CGGTCCAGCATTCACGTGCAAGTAGCAAGTTTGAGAGGCATGAGCGACCCGGCCGGAAACCGTGTTGTTGGTGGCACACCAAATGCTGCCGAAGCCGTGCAACCACCAGTCGCTCCATTACTTTACCCACAACGCTAGTAAGGCTGACTGGTCGGTAGTTCCCAGGGTCACTCCTATCCCCAACTTTGGGCAGTGGAACAATGACAGCGTCCTTGCATTGCCGCGGTAAACGCCCTTGAGTGAATGACAAATTGAACAGGTTGCACAGTGGCGCTGCAAGTTCATCTGCCAGCTCCTTCAGGCTCAGCGGATGCACACCATCGGGTCCAGGTGACTGGTGAACCTTTAGTCGACGCAGCTCCAGGGCCACCTCCCTATGATAGATGGGGCCCAGTTCAGCGCAGTGTCAGTGTCTAGTAGATGTGCCAGTGTGCTGGAGGCTGGGGTGTACACTGAGGCATAATGTGATGCCAGCATCTCCGCTTTGTCCTCATCTTTTTCGGCTAGTGCCCCATCTTTGCCGAGAGTCGGGAGACCAGGCGTTGCTTTGATTCTTCACCTGAGGCAGGCATATAATCGCTTTGGTGCTTGTACTGAATCCGCTTCTAGTCGTTCCTCAAATCTGGTTCTCTTGCATTTTTTATAAAAATTAAAAATTAAATGACGGAAACAGGCAAATTTAGCAGGCTGGGTTAAGAAAAAGTACATGTCAAGCTCTGCTAGCAGATCACTCCTCGGAAAGCGTAGGATGGAGTGAGTGGTGTGAATGCCAAACGCGAAGAATGTATTAAATGTACTGAACTATGAGCATGGGACAGATACGGTGCCAGCACTAAACATGATAAAAATCGAAGTGAACGAAATGGTTCGCGTTTATTTCTTCGGCGAATCCTCAGCTGATGACAAGGTACCAAGCTGTGAGGTCTGTAAGGAAAATGCCCGTTTGTAACGCGAAGAGTTAAAGGAAGGAATTGAGTGCATTGCAATAAATTTTTCCCTTACGACACAAGCATTCACCAGTGAACGAATATAGCATCAGTTTATTTGTCAGCGTTTTTCCACTCAATCATGTGAGAGAACCAGCAGCAGAATCATTCTTCCAAAGACAATGCTGTTGTGTAGTCAAATGGTGATTATTTCAAACACTAAAATTATATTCGGATAAAGAAGCCAAAAATTTGTTAAGGGGAAACTAAAATAATAGTTGTGAAAATATTGCGATGGATATTGAGACAAAAACACCCACACATACATCCTCCTTGATTTTGACTCAAACGGCCAGTAAAAAGGGAGTTCCTAGTTTAGAAAATAACGGGTTAATCGGTTGCCTTAGTCTCCAGAAGTGAAATTTTAGATGACCTTGAACCGCCAGTAAAGAGACAGAAAGGATCACTCACCGGCGGTACCCAATTGGTTCGACGCTTCCTTTGGTATTTGAGAGCACTTGTGTACTCCCGAGCTATGCGATTCGCGGCTGGTAACAAATCACCATCGGCCTTGTTCACCAAGACTATATCAGCAACCTCTACAATACCTCGTTTGATACCTTGCAGCTCATCCCCGCCGGCCGGAGGAATGATGAGAATGAATATATCGACCATATCGGCCACTGCAAACTCTGACTGGCCCACACCTAAACGAAACGAGAATGAAGGGCGAAAAAAAACACCTGAATACACATCATTGAGTGAGAAAACCCCGTCAACCGCATAACCACGTAAAACACCCGCGAACATTGCATTGAAGCAACTAGTGCAACGTGTATACAACCAAAAAGAAAACAAATTGGATGATATTTACACATTCTCTAAGTTGCCGAACCACGTGTGTGAGCAAACACTGGACATCAATGTTAGAAAAGGAAGTATTGCAGAGAAAAGATAACCAACAGATCAAAAGCTCAGGAACTGTCGTGTATTTCATATCACTGGCCTCTACAGTCTCCCAGTATTGATTGCACTAAGTGATACGTATCACGCTCCGACTATCCGAGAATGTTTCTCTTGCGCGCGATGCCTTGGAAAGTCGCTTGGTGTGATGTACCCGATGGAATTGCTGTCTGTCAGATCACCGTCTATTTTTCGTCCGTCCGCCTTGTGACGCAGCTTTTTCTTTCAACCCGCCTTGACCACATCGCAAATTGGCCACAAATGGTAGGGTTAAACTGGGAAGTGCCGGTCGCGCTGGTCAATTTGAGTTTGCTTGCATTAGTTACTCTGTGTTACGGTGGACATTTTAAACGCAAAACACTGACGCGGTAAATGCTGGTAGATTAACACAACTTGTTCTATCAACCGCTGACCCAGATGTGCGGGCCCAAAATTAGACAGGTACTGAATGCTAATCCAAAAATGCCATTCACTCTTTTAGAATTACTAGTTAGGAGCTGATCAAACACGCTGTGATACGCTGTACCTTTATGGACTCAGTGCATCTACTTGACACCCACTAATCGTTACCGGTCGGTAGCGAGCAAAACTAACCATACCTTCAGGTTCAGCGGAAACTAACCACTTATTCTTGCAGAGACTAAGACAGATGAAAGACCAATGGGAAATCCGAGTCGGAGAAAGTTCGAATTTGGTGCTTCTTGAGTTGACTGGACGAACAGAGCATTTGACATAAAGGGGATGAAGATGAATCCCGAAGGATATTCAATCTAAAAAATAATGATACGTTTCGCACAAAACTACTTACAAGTCAATGAAACCTTAAAAGCTCTAAACACTGGAACTTCAAACAGAATAGTCATTTATTGTGAATGTTATAGTGTTAATAACACAGAGATGTCGGTA